TGTGCTAACAATATTTCACTAGCTGTATGATTGTCGAGACCTGTCACATACCCGGGCCATTACTGATTTTAGAGGTAATTAGATTACACAAACACAAACACACCTATGCATAAGTGCCAAAGGCAGACGTGTCTACAAAGGTGATGCATGGAAACACTTAACGTAAATGCTGTCAACAAGATCACCCAGTCAACGGCATGGTGCCAATGCACAGATTGTTTTGTGTAAATAAGTGTGAGGGAACGAAAGTGAAGTAATGAAGCAGTGTTTGCATTTTGGGCACCCGAGGGACGTGCAATGTCAGGAACTCAAAATGGATTTTTGCCTTATTCGAGAGTTATACAAAACAAGTGATGTACCGTGATGTCTTATAGTATTAAGTAGAAAACGAAGGCTATTCAGTGTGATCCACTTTTGAGATTTCCCACCCCTAAAAGCGGTCAGAACCGCATTGTAGGTTGGATTCCAAATTAACAAAAGGTAATAACCTCGTTTTCAGCAAGCAAAAAAATTTTCAAAGAAGAACAAATTTGTAAGGAGGGTAATCCTTAAGCCTTGGACTTGCATACTCACTTTTTCTTTAATAAATTGTTTTGCCTCCTTCCAAAAATTCAGGCACTGATGAAGCCATGCTGATTGAAATTTTGGGGACTCGTACTAGCCAGCAGCGTGTTGAAATCGCAGAAGCCTACAAGGGTTCCTACGGAGAGGTGAGTTTTAATTCTTTGCTCCAGCATGACTCAGCACTAGTGCATGTGCTCCGAAAAGCCTCCATTTTTATTCACAGGACCTTAAGGAAAGACTACAGGGTGAACTAAGTGGTGATTTTGGCGAACTGGTGGACCTCATGTTCTACACTATTCCTGAGCTAAAAGCTCAGCTTTGCTACGATGCAATTAAGGGAGCTGGTACAGACGAGCTTGCCCTCATTGAAGTCATCTGCACCTCTACCAACTCCGAAATTGAGGAACTCAAAAAAGAATACGCTAAAGGTTGGCGAATCGACTCCACTGAGCATAGTATCTCCATTTTCTTGGTGATTAGGGTTTTCAAATGCCTTCTACCTCCATTTTAGTGTGCCAAAAACACGGAAAAGCTGGTATGTCAACATTTGAATGCATTGGAGACCTGGAATTAGGCACGAAATTTAGGCAATTTAAAGCATACTTCTAGCTTACTTTTAAAACGCCTCTTGTGCCAAGGAAAAACAGGAGTAGGTGAAAATTTGGTCGATCACATTTTGGGCTTTAAAAATGAAGGGGATTGGTTGCAAACGCTATTTTCTGCCATTTAATTTTACAATAAGGTTTTAGCAAAGCTATATAATTTTGTAAAAGTTTGGATGACCAACAAAATAGGATTGACTTCCAACTAATTTGGCAATGACGCTGCTGTTTTATTTTTGTTATTGCATAGCCGCCGAGAATACTCTGGAGGAAGACGTAGTGGGTGACACCAGCGGCTACTTTAAACGCATCCTAGTAGCTCTGTTGGCAGCTCAGCGTCACGAGCCCACTGAACAGCAGTTGAAAGATATTGCGAGTCGAGGACTTGATTCGATCATCGACAAGAAGGCTGCTGAAGCAGACGCTCAAAAGCTCTATGATGCCGGCGAAAAGTGAGCTCGCCAATAGTTGATCGAATTGAAAGCACATGCGTCTAAGGAATCCTGAGAAATTAGTTGGATTTGTTCTTACCCTTGTGGCAGAATCAAAGGAATTGTCAGTTTTCCGATTTACATTGAACCAAAATGTCCGTAGCATTACTGATTCTACTTATAAAAATTCAGTAGACGCTATTATTTTACGAAACATGAGACGTATTCAACATGACATTAAGCTCGATTTTCACCTTGTCCTCTATTTTAAAAGGAACCCTACTCCATCCTCTGATATTTCTTGGCAGTGATAATAGTCTGATTAAGGTTTTGTTATTCTCCAGTACATCAATTTAAGGATGGTTGTCATGCACTTCGTGTTTTATGTTTCTGCAATAGCGGGACATTTTATGCTTTAGGCGACTTGGAACAGACGAGGAAACCTTTATTACCATTCTATGCACAAGAAGTCCATGGCAGTTGATTGGAATTAGCAAAGCCTATGAAAAGGTAAAAAAAATCATAATGTGTCCCATATTGTGATACAAACAAAAGTTTTAGATTAAATTTGCTTATCTTTTTCATGCTATTTCTAAAAGATAAGCAAACTACGACTTGTTGAGGCCATCGCAAGCGAAACAAAGGGTTACTTTAGACAAGCTCTCTTAACAACCTGTAAGTTATTCTTAGAGCACTTTAAACAATAATGCCAAAAGTAATTTAACTCTTTATTGTCTTATTGCTCGGTTTTGATCTATTTGTCACCTCAATGCGATTGTAATTAACCATAGTGAGAGCCATTGAGAATACTATCTGGCTAAGTAATTTTCTACGCATTTGATTTAAGCGATGTCTTATGCATTTTTTGTTGTCGAATCAAGTGTTGGCCAACACTAACGCACCAATGGCTTTTGCCGAACACTTCAACAACGGTTTGAGCGGTCTTGGGACTAACGATGACCAGATAATGCGTCTCATAGTATGGCGTTCGGAGGTGTGCCGCAAGTCAACTATTTCGCGTTATTGTCTTCATCATGGAATATTTTACTTTGTCAATGCTTTCCTTACTAGGTTGATATGAAGGAAATCAAGAATTGCTATCTTATAAGGTACAACAGAGATCTCGTCGACGATATCAGGGGTGATACATCTGGCGACTATGAAAAGCTTCTTGTTCGTCTTCTTGGATCTCAGTGAAAAGTGACGCTAATCATTTCTTCCAAATAATCACTCCCCACTCCCCTTTAGCCATATTTGAGACTCGGTGTCTACTGATTTGCCAATAAGTAGTTCTACAATACTTCTAACTATCAAGCTATTCTTTAGCGGGGCAATGTAGTCAGTTGACCTGAGTTTTAGAATAAAAGCAATTAAATAGATGCTAATTTGTGGTCATTTTATGGTGAGCTTTTAATGGACTCCAAGAGAACTGTAACTGCGGCGTCGCCAGTGCGCTGAGTTGTTTTGCCTTTAGTCCGTGGATCTGTTGCATTCTCATAGTACTGATGCGTTTATGGTAGAAAGCAAGCATTATGAGAATTGACTATAGTGTGCATTTGAAGTCCTTCAGCCGGGTGAAGTGATAATTATAAAATGTCTAGTTTTTAGCAACCACATCAAACATGCGCTTCAACGGCTTAAGGGGAGAGTCAAGTGGGTCAGGAGGGAATGTATTTCCA